CCCTGACCATCTTCCACAGCGACAATACAAATATCCCCAGGAGGCAGAAGAAGGATTAAAACCTACCATTGACCTACCAGGGCACAAAAGCAGGTGACAAGTCCAGAGACATTGGATCTATAAGCCCTACAGGAATGGGATGAAGAAATTGAACAATTCCTGAGGCAAGGAATAATCAGAGGGAAATGGCATGTACACAAAGACTCCAAAGGGGTAGTGTGGGTCACTAAACATGACCCAGACCTTGGGGGATGGCCTAAATGGTGGTTGATTCCTAAAAAGGTCAGAACTGAACTGATTCAATATGTTCATGAGCAAGGGCATTTTGGGGTGGACAAAACTGTGGAAAGAGTCAAAGATACAAGGTGGTGCCTCCCCCCCTTCCCCTCCCGGGAAGATGTAAAGCAGTGGAGTAATAATTGTTTGCGATGTGCTATGGTTAATGCAGACCCACAGGTAGAAAAGGGCCCCATTGCTCACCAGAGGATTGAGGGTCTATATCGGACCACTACCAGTTACCCCAAGGAACAACAAGTACTGTTTGGTAAGTGTAGATCCCTTTACAAAATGGGTAGGAGCCATCCCAACAAAGACTAACACAGCATCGACTACAGCCAGGCAATTGTTTAATGTGGGGATTAGCTGGTGGGGGCTGCCAAAGGAAATTGATTCCAACCAAAGCCCACACTTCATTGGGGAAACTATGCAGGAGCTGTGTAAAATGCTTGGCATTAAGCAAAGGTTCCACATAGCAGGACACCCCTGATCCTCAGGACAAGTGGAACAAACTAACCGCACTGTAAAGGATGCTCTGAGACAAATAGTAAAGGAAAATGGAAGAGACTGGGATGAAAAACTGCCCTTGATTCTAATGGCCTTAAGGTCAGTCTCAGCAAGTCATGGTTACACTCCCTTTGTGGCAATGATGGGAAGGGACATGCGAACATTCCAGCAGTGGTGATTAGACGTTGATATTCCAGACGGGTGGCAACCCAAAGTGCTAAATGACCAGTGGATCCAGTCTCTTGTAGAGGCATTAACAGAAATCCACAAGAAAATAGCAGATCAGTTGGGTGTTAATATCTAAAAGATGAATAAAAGGTTGGTCCAGGTAAAAAGGCCTGTTGAATGGGAAGTTGGAGATCAGGTGCTGTATTGGAAATTTGCAGAGCAAGATTGCTCTTTGGGAATGAAGTGGGAAGGACCAGTGTACATTGTGGAAAAGGCCAGCCCAACAGTGTACCAGGTAGAAATCTGGTCAAAGAGGCTAAACATGCCAAAGTTAAAATGATTCCATTCTTCCCAGCTTAAACCATGGAAAGGGGACTCCAAGCAGTAACCTCTAACTAGCCCCATGCAGGGGGGTTAGAAAAATGTCTGTTTTGTCTTTCAGAGTTCTAAAAGACTGGCACCAGCAGAAGAACACAAGTGACCTGGGCACCGTTATGAAGAAGCTGTTGTCGCAACTGTGTGTCTGTGTGTTTTATGTTCCATGTTGTTTGTCTGACAGCGAAACCTATTCTCTGGCCTGTTGATATCCATGTAGTAAGTGTATGGAAAAATAATTTCTGGGTAACGGCACAATGCTGGATCAATCCTATAGTGTTCAATCATACCAGCTGTTGCTTGTGCTGGGAAAAGGCATTCACCCATTACCATAACATAACTGGCGGGCTGTCACCAGAAGCCCCATCACAATCTAAGTTGTCAATAATGACTGGATACTCTAACACTATGGAAGGGAATTGTACGGGACCAGAAACTACAATATATAACTTTGACTGCCTTAAGCTCACTCAGAAACAAGAAATCAATCTGCTTAAGATCCCTGTGTTCTCTCCAAAATGTGGGATACTGAAGTTTATGGGGTTTGCATGGCAGCTAGGAGGGGACACTGACATTAGGATGCTAATAAGGTTTAATGAGCCTCACTTGCTTCAAATCTGGGAATCAAGGCCCAGCACCCTGACTAGTCCCTCAGGGAAACAATTGCAAATATCAAGAAACTTCGCTAACACACCAAGGCAGGTGGATACTGTGATGTAGTGGGGGTACCTTGCTGGTTGCTATGCGGGGCAGTGGGCTGTGGGTGACCTCTGCTGTCTGTAGCACAGCCCAGCAGGGCAGGGGGTGAGTCATTATGCAAAGGGGCTCCAAACCTGTCTGACCAGCTACCCCCCAGGGAGAGAAACAAAGGAAGGTGGAATGCCGCCCCTGGCTGGGGGGCAGGGCTGGAAGAGAGTTGGTTAGTTTCTGTCTGGGATCATGGAGGAAGCAGCCTAGGCAACAGGCTGGGATTTAGGAGCCCAGGCTCTCCCATCTCAAGGGGGGCTGAGGCATCCTAGGCCTGCCCTGTAACTAGATTACATCTGTGCTGTATCCTGGAGAAGCAATAAACTCCCTCTATTCTACTGGCTGGTGGAGTCTGTTCGTGCCATTACCGGGGTGCAGGAGACAGGAAAATCCCGACGCGCTGTCACAGATACCCAGGATATACGAGAACTGAGACCCCCAGAATGCCTCTGGGTAACATTACATTTTAAAATAATTGCCACTGAGTTTGATATGCAAAAACCAAGAAAACACCCATTGAGCAGTCAACATGTGGTAAAATTGGATCACAGAGAACAAGTCATTATATCACCAACACTATATCTAAAGCAAATTGAGCTGGACCTTACTGGGTTAAATGTGTCCAAGGTCATACCTCAATGCACCCCATATGTACAGACATTCCATAAGGGGTGGGCAGCATGGCTACAATTATGGTATATTGACAAACCCATCAGAAGAAGAACCCTCAGAGGTGTATTGGATACTGTTTTGGGTAGAAGTGGGTTAGGAGTCAGAGTACTGGATGCCACTAACATAGGAGTATTGGCAAACAAATTGAGTTATGTGACGGGTGAAATACAAGAGCTGGGAAAGCCTGTCAGTGCATTCTTATCAAAATTAGGAATGGGACAACAATTATTTTCTAGAATATTACCAGTATGGCAACAGCAAGGGGAAAAGGATTTGTTATTAGCAGGAACTATGGGATCAATACAAGAACTGCGTCCATTTGTGTCCCGCAAGGGGGGAGGCAGTGGAGGTGTAAGACATGGCTGTAGAGAGGAAATCCTGAAAGCATGCGGTGCAATTGCCTGAACAAGCAGCCACAAGAATTGCCTGCCCTCCTGGTGCCTTCTCCAGAGTGCTTCCAGGGGCTGTAAGTCTGAGGCAGGTGCCAATCAGTGTGGACATGCTATTTTGAAATTATTCTGGCTAATTTTGCTGCTTCCTCATAGTAGGCACATACTATATCACTTTTGTTAAATCTGGAGTTATGATGTTGATTTTACTTATTTCAATATAATTTCCTAGTGTAGACGTGTCCTGAGAGAACCAGTTTCTGTCCACCATTTGCAGACCAAATTATACGGGGTGGCTGCGTCTACATTGGCACCCTTTTCCGTAAAAGGGATGCGTATGAAACCAGTCAATTGCAAATGCCGCGGGGGGTATTTTAATCCCCCGCGGCATTTGCATGAACATGGCTGCCGCTTTTTTCTGGCTCGGGGGTTTGCCGGAGAAAAGCGCCAGTCTAGACGGGATCTTGCGGAAAAGGGCTTATTTCCCGCAAGATCCCGTCTAGACTGGCGCTTTTCTCCGGCAAACCCCCGAGCCAGAAAAAAGCGGCAGCCATGTTCATGCAAATGCCGCGGGGGGTATTTTAATCCCCCGCGGCATTTGCCATTCCGACTGGTCTCATTAGCATCCCTTTTACGGAAATGTAAATGTAGACACAGACGGTTAGTTAGGGACCTTGAGAAGAGTTAGCAAAATTTTCTTTGCAATATACTTCAAACGAGGCCCATTTTACAGAGTTTGTTTGGGGAGAGAAGGCGTATGTGAAACTTTAGGCCAGCACTTCTTCATTAATAACTGCTCTAAAAGTGAAGCCCCTTTCTTTGTGCATTGCACTTCCAATGCTTACAAGACTAAATAGTCTTGCTCAGAGATACTAAAATTCTACTACTTCCCCCATATCAGAGACTCTCACTTGGAAACCAGGATTGTGAGGATGCAAGTCCAGCTCTTCTTCCCATACACTTATTAATTCTTTATCTGAACATCACAGTTACCATATTTAGGCAAATACTTTCTCTGATTATCTTCTATGCCAGAAAGGCAAGGTTATAGAACAACTCAGACCAAACCCAGAAGTCTTGACTCTCAAGCCTCTATTGTACCTTCTTTCCATAAAATACACATAGGCTACATCTACACTGGAATGATTTTCCGAAAATGCTTTTAATGGAAAAGTTTTCCGTTAAAAGCATTTTTGGAAAAGCACGTCTACTTTTCCGCAAAAGCACTTTTTGCGGAAAAGCGTCCGTGGCCAATCTAGACGTGGTTTTCCACAAAAAAGCCCCGATCGCCATTTTCGCGGAAAACAGTACTGTGCTGTTTACACTGGCCCTCTTGCGCAAATGATTCACGCAAGAGGGCTTTTGCCCAAACGGGAGCAGCACAGTATTTCCGCAAGAACACTGACGATCTTACATGAGATTGTCAGTGTTCTTGCGGAAATTCAAGCGGCCAGTGTAGACAGCTGGCAAGTTTTTCTGCAAAATCAGATGATTTTGTGGAAAAACTTGCCAGTCTAGACACAGCCATATTCTTTCAGTATAAGCTCTGTACCATGATCATTTGCAGTTAATTGCCCTGAAGACTATTATCTGCTGACTAATGCTGATATAATTAGGAGACAGAGTACATATTCAGAAATAAATACTTTGCTTAATTTTTTCTCTTTTTTGTTAAGTGATCCCTTCTTCCTCTCTTTCCAACAGTTCGTTATTTTTTACTGCAGGTACACGAATTTCCTAGTTGGGTTTGATTATTAATAATTCAAAGAGCAAATTACTCCATGGCATGGAAGGATAACTGAAAGCAGCATTTACAACTTGCCATAAGCTTAAGGACTATATCTGAGTCACATAAAATAAAACTCACTGTAACCATCCTCAGGTATAATATGTAGATGTGAACTGAGACTGAAGACCCCAGCACTGAATGTTGCTCATTTGGCCCACAGCACCATGGTCATCTTTGCCTGATGGCAACTAGCAAAGAAAAAGACAGTTGCACAATTTCATTGTTATTGCAAATGTGTTAGGACGCTTCAGACATGAAGATCAAGAGTGCTTCAGTTCACTAAAATCTTTAACTATACATGTGAACACAGACTGGCCTTAATCTTAATTCTTTCTTGTGACAAGTCCTTCCCTGCTCAAGAAATCTATCATCTTGACTCAGCAGCATGTTTTCACGGCATAAAAACAGACGGCATCTTTTCTGCTCAGAGTCATAGAAAATAAGTACTTATTGTATGCAAATTATTTTTTCTGCATGTCAGACAAAAACAAATCATATTGTGGTCTGTATGTACAGTGAAACTGAAAAGATTCAAACATCTCTTTACTATGGTGACTCAGTCTGGTTTTGGTAACAAATAAATATAGTGTCTCCCTGTGAAGAAATATTGGTATTAATCATCCTGTTTAAGGAGAGGTGGTGTGTTTGGAAAGAATGAATCATCATTTGCTCTATGTTGTACTCCAGAGTACTGTAAGAACAAGAATTTTTCACGTAAGCAGACAGTGTCTTCACTAAACCAATGTACTTAAAATTTAATCCACAAAGAAATTATTCCTCTGCAATTCATAATTCCTTCACTCAGCAAATAAGTACTGGTTTTAGATTTCTCTCTGTTTACATTGGGAATTATACTTGTCTCAGCCATTGGTAGCCATTAACCAGTGTAGCTGAAACGATGTAAAGTGCAAGCATAGATAAGAACAGCTACAATTTGTCCTGACTGAATTTAGCCCAGTTTCAAGTTGAATGTCAAGTACAGATACAACATAAAAAGTTTAACATCGGAGGCAAGTCTACATAAACAAGTAGGGCACAGCAAGCTGAGGTGTAAGCTACAGCATGTTAGCCTGCCTTGCTCTAAGTATCCATGTGGCATGTGCTACTGTGAATTGAGAGTAGAATAAAGTGCAGTAGCGAACTTTTAGTACATGGCAGAAATTCTTCCTCTGCAATTGTAGTACAGAGAAAGCCAATGTGAGGTTTATACACCAGTGTGCCACCCACTAATTGTTTGTATAGAGAAGTCCTAAGAAATATACTACAGTATATTCCAAAATATTTTAATGACATATTGCTGAATTTAAACCTGGCCTTACACAGCCCTCTGCTTTTATACTCAAAATTTTATAGGCACATGTAATTTTTGTTCAACATTGGTAATTATGTTTCTATGCAAGTCAATGGCAGTTTTTCTTCAATGCTGCGTGATTTTGAAAATGACACCGGAAACATTTAAATGTCTGATTGTACTCTTCTTGTACTTGAGGTGTATATAAATGTAGACTCAAAATTGCACTCAGAGGGTATGTCTACACTACAGCACTAATTCGAACTAACTTAGTTAGTTCGAATTAACTTTGTAGTGTAGACATACCCACAATTATTTGCAGCTACAAAGTATCTGACTTTTTAATATTCTATTTATTGCTCACATCTGAAAAGCACATATTTAGGCCAATCCATCAAAATATTTTTCTTGTGATAAAATCAAGAGTAAATATATTTCTGCTAGAGCTAACTGAATTACATGGCTTGTGTATTACAAGAAAAAACTGTTTTACAGATTTTAGAAAGAACTGACTAGGAAGTCCACGTTTTTTCCCAGGTTATAGACTGGAAGGCAAAACTTCATATAGTTTTACCTTAGGATCAAGGAAGAATTACTTCTTGTATTTCTAGTGCCATGAGTAAATTTTTTTTTCCACAGGTCACATATAAACAGAAGACGGAAGACTATACAAAAGAATTTCCTAATATGGAATGTGATTGTTCAGTCTTCCTGTGGTATTGCATATAAAGCCAAACTCAGACCTAGTGAGTGCTTTTTATTTGTATTTACCAATGTCCAGTTATTCTGTATTTCATAGTATAATCTTCTCTGAATGTCTTCATAACAAGAAACAAGTATACTCTCGCTCTCTCTCTCAAAACAAAAAAAACTGTAGCTACAAGCTAATGACACAAAATATGTACAATATTCCAAGTAAAACTTCCCTTCACCATAAACTTAGGGAAACTTAAATTAATAAATAATTATAAGAAGGCATATGTGGGGAAAATTCAAACAAAATAGAACAGCTGCATCACACATTTATATGTAAGTGAAATATATTATGAAAACCATAATAAAGAAGGATGGAGAGAGTAAGCTAAACATTTAGGACTATATTCTACCTTTATTTACAAGCAAGCATCTCCCATCAATACTAATGAGAGTTGCTAAAGCTGTGGTGTCCACACCTTAGCCACTAGCCAAGTGTGTGGCTAGTTAGCTTGAACAATGTGGCTATTGGGCTGGTTGAGTATGGCTAGTTTGCTATAGCAGTATACTATATATTGGCTGCTGCTTTAGAACTGGTTGGATACTATGGCACTAGAGCATGAGGGTCAGAGGGAATAGAATATATACTGGGTGAGGGATCAGGCTCTAAGTGATGCCACAATTTGGACAAACACACATAAAACAATTAGAACAACCCAGGAAAGTTATGTCTACACTAGCAGGTTATTTCAAAATAATAACTCCTAAAAAACTATTTCAAAATAAGTGTATTTCTCTTCACAAGCAGGAGTTACAATTTCAAAATAACAAGACCCTTATTTTTAAATAGGCTTGGTAGTGTGGACATTGTCCTTGTTATTTCAAAATAAGGGGAGTTATTTTGAAATAACTCCCAAGTGTAGACATACCCAAACACAAGTAGCAAGTTTCTGAAATCTGATCACAAAAGTCATTGAAATCAGTCGAATTTTTTCCATTGACTTCAGTGGTTACTATATCAAATTACTAGTTTCTGGGCCTAGAGACTTTGGTGATTGGCACACTATATAAATCAGACACGTAAATAAATACCTCAAGTGAGGCAGAAAGGACAAAGGCCAAATAATAATAGCCACCTGTGAATTATAAAATGATTTCCATGCAAAATGGTTGGAGTAGCATACTGTTGTCATATAATAGAAGTTATACAGAAAAAGCAGGGGAGGAATATAATTATTACAAATGATTTTCTAGTTCTGAAAGTTTCATTTGTGTTTACGATTCTAAAATGTCATATTTTAATTTGATATAACTTGCTCTTTTCTGGGCTTTTCGTCTGATGATCTCAAAGTTCTTAACATTAAGATCCCAACATCCTTTTGTGGCAGGTAGTATCATCTCCATTTTAAAGAAAGTTAAACTAAGGCATATAAGTTTAAAGGGCCTGATTTTGCAGTGGCACAGAACCTCCAGTGACTTTACTGGTAAAATATGTTTAGGGAGTCTACAGAATCAGGACCAGCCTGACTTGCCTATTATGCAGAGGGTGAAATCCTGGCCCCAATGTGCCCTAGCTCCTAGTTCACCATTTTGATCATTAGGTCACGCTGTAAACCAGTGTTTCGTAAACTGTGTGCCGCAGGACACCAGTGTGCCACGAGATAGTCGGAGGTGCACTGTCGCCTCTTAACTTATTTTCCACCCCCGGCAGAGACGAAAGCGCAGTTGGGACAACACGCGTGGCAATTAAAGGGACCACGACCGCTTTTTTTTTTTTCTCCTCAATAACTTTCCCTCGGTGTTCTATAAAAAAAAAAAAAAAATTGTTTGGTGTTCCACAGTCTTAAAAAGTTTAAGAAACACTGCTGTAAACAATATAGCCAATTTTGTATTTTTTCATGATCTCCTACACTCCAGAATTAGAAATAGGATCACTTAATAGTTCAATTTGCTCTTTTCTAATTTCTGTACTTTGGACAGAAGAGACAGGATTCAAAGGGTATAACATTTAGAATAATTTTTTTCTTTGTGTTTTGAGTCCACTGTTAATTTATCTATATGCTTTATATCTTGTCAAAGCTGAAAATATACTGAGCTAACAAAGTAAGAGTAAACAAAAATTTACTTTGCTATATTATAAAAACCAATAAGTCAGAATAATAAATTACATTGTTCCCTTCATTTGAAACATTCCCTGTAGCGTTCTCCCTGCAGTAACAGAAAGTTGGATAAGTTAAAATTTAAAACCCCCCACAAGTATTTCACAATCAATGGTAACCTGAAGATTTTCCTCGTATTCAGGGTTTGTTTCTGTGTTGGGTAAGGAGAATATGTAAGAATGTAAAAACAGTAATTATATAAAAAGGGAGGAGCCCAGTATAATCATTGTGCTTTAATTCATTTGGCTATTAGCAAATGCTGTTTTGACACAGTAGGTCAGATTGACAAAAAAAAAATGGCCAGTAAACTTTTTGTATTTTCAAGATTTTTTGTAGACTGATTCCATAAGGTGCTGCCCTCACAACCTCATGAATAAGGAATGATTTCATCACAAATATGTCACAAATTCTCTGAAGTCTGTTGGTGGCTGAGGTGTTCAGTATCTCAGTGAAGACTTGCAGAACTTATTGGCAATAAGCTTGCCCATGGTTGCAAAGTGTGCCAGTGAAAAATCTTGCAGAACTTATTGGCAATAAACTTGCCCATGGTTGCAAAGTGTGCCAGTGAAAAATGAAATTCAGGACCTTAACTGGCAGTCTCATCTTAATGGTTTTCTATCCACAGTATTTGCACTGCACAGAATTGGAAATAATTTAATGGCAGTTTTGCCAGAGCACAGGCTGTGGAATTAAGCATCAAAATAGCATTCTTACATATTTTTAACTTACTTTCATACTTCACTTCAGCAGATTCTTCCAGGGATCATTTTTATTCTTTTTATTTCTAGAAAGTCTATACATCATATATATCAGGCTGTCTTTTAGGCCTTGATTCAGAAAGACACATAAACATGCACTTAAGTCCCATTAGCTTAAATGGGGCTTATAAAAAGAGTTGTACAGCATGCACTGAAACGCACTGAGGACTCATGAAGGAAGTTAAGCATTAAAGTATCTATTTTCTCCCCTTATATTGGGTGTTTATGTGAATAATTGTTCTACAAAAGAAACCGTCAAATAGATGTTTGCCCCGGGGGGGTGGCTA